TGCAAAATATTCTATAGGTCTCCTGTACTACTGCATAACTTGCAAAAGTCGAAAGGCCAATATTTTTATTCTGAAAGGTTGGCCATACAACAGCTACTAAGATAATTTTTGCTTGGCATTATACGCTTATTTTAAGTTTTTTCCTAAGTTATAGAAATAGTACTGTCAACTCATTTTAGGCTTCACTAGAAAGTTTTCACATATTATCTAAGAACGATGCATATGAAGCGTTGCATAAGTCATTTTCAGTAGCCATCTAAGAGAATAATAAAAAGTCAAAAAACATGTTATGAATAGCACTAGATTAATGCACAAAGAGCAAGCTTTCAAAACTAGTCACCATAAATATTTAAATTCGTCCATCATAAGGACGATAAGAAGGTGCAGCTTATTATCTACGAAAACACCAACTTTCATCTGAAAATCGATATTCTGTGCTTGAAAATTAGAAATGTTGTTGCCGTTAATTGCTATACTAACTACCTCCGCAAACGTTTCTCTATTTGTATCAACATATTATCATTAATAGAATTCATCTTCAAGGAATCTGAATGTAGGTCTGAGAATAAGTGGATACTTAATATCTTCTCTCATCACTTCAGAGTCATATCAACACCAATTTTCACATCCCACCCATCCTTGCATGAACCAGAAATAAAACCTTTACCCGCACTCTACACTAACATCTAACCCATCCTAACACACAGATCCGCACCCATACCCAGATTCATACACCAGAACCTTTACCATACTCAGATTTCACCCACACCCCTAATTGAATACTTTTGATGAAAGTTGCTTTCCAAAACACGAATTTTATTCGTGCCTCACCTGTCAATGGAGTTTCAAAGTAAATGGAGCTCCGTTGTGTACACTTATACTTTCAGAATTAAGAAACGTGTAAAAAGGAAAAACAAAAATGAAGTTCAATCAAAATAGCACTCAAAAGTCTAAAAACGTTCATCGTACTGCTTGAGAAAATAATTCTCTATTCATGTAGCATAGTCTCCGATTATTTCAACGCTAGATTTACATTCAGTCGATTTCCTATTTAAAAATAGTCTTCAAAACAAACAAAGCTTCAAAATTTCACGGAACCTTGGATGAAAACACAGGAAATTATTCATCCTGGATCGGCGGGTTGGAATTCTTGATTAAACCAACGAAAAACCTGCGTGTTAAATATATCAATTAACCAATCCATTGTTTCAAGAAGCAGTCTATTACAACGTGAAAATCATATGACTTTTAGAGTTTCTGATAGTAACAACTTCTATTTTAGTCAGCCACATTACACATATGTGCTAATATTAAGAGCGAGCAAAGAGTTCTTTTAAACATTTCATTTATTAACTCAGCAACTATGTAGTATGGAAAAAAATCTATGCTATGCTTTTGCTGGAGTTTTTTAATAATGATATGATGCTTTACAATTGATGAGTTTAATCTATTTTTATTTGAAATAATGACGTAGTTAGCACAGCTGAAAAGCAGCACATTTCGTAAAAGAATGTTACTGCTGATAGCAAAAACAAGCGGTGAATTGAAACGTATGGTTTTTATGTTAGACTATCTATTTTAAGGTTTCTAAATGTCTAAACATTTCCGCAGTTGAATGGTGCTAGCAGTTGGCAAGATCTTGACAACATTATAAAAAAATATTTTTGATATTCTGTAATGAAAGCACGAAAAATAAAACCTACAAGCAATTTTGTATTTTATACGACTGACTAAAAAATACTCCAGAAAAGTAGTAAATCCTACTTTTGTCAACAGTAAAAATGTCGAAACATTACAAGTTGTTTGTTAGTTGATGAGGAAAAATTCAATATAGTTATTTTATAGGAATTTTATTTATAAAAAAAACTTGAATTATGAGAAAATGTAAAACAAAATGGAGGAACCTTGATGAACAATTTAACTTGAGTCATACATATATTTTGCAGTTATTTCTTGTTGGTTCTAACAATCAATGACAATGTAGAAACGGTTTTTTTAATGCACCAACAGACCATTGAATAACTTTTTTCGAAGTCGTTTTTTTTTGGCTTGCAGGAATTTTATAAGTGTCCAAATATTAGGATGGTTGTGTTGAATGCGGAAGTTCGTTCTGCTATGATAACCTTTCAATTACAAATGACATATTGTGGTCTCAAAAAACAAAGTCTGTTTATTGTTAACTTCGCAGACGTTATTTATCCTCTTGTCTATTGTAGCCACATTCCATACATAAATATCAAATATTGATGATGAAAACTAAAAGCTCAAATAACGGGGAAATGAGAAACAATTTCTCGTGCAAAAACACATAAGATAGTGACTTCTATGTTCATCATCGGGATAACACCAGATTCAAAGTCAGTAACAATTAATTTTAGTGAAAAACGTTTTTACCACGTTTCAAAGCCAAATGGTTTAAGTCAAAAACTATTTGACAATAAGTAGCTGCCTTTTATTTACCGTAAATGCAAAGACACACGGTACTCCCTTCAAAGAAAACAGAAGAAGTTCTTAGTAAATGAGGCAGAGATTTTCAAAAAGTACCATCCATTTATATAGTTTCTGAATCAAATAAACTATCAAGCTGAAGATCACTTGCATATAAAAGAAGAAGTTTACGTCACATTGAGAATAGTAAATAAACATGCTTGAGGACGTGAAGAAAGAATTTTTCGACTAGCTTTAGTAATGGTTTGATCTAACAATAAATTTAAAAGGTTATTGATTGTAACTTTTTCAATAGTCACTTACAAATTTCTGGGCTTGTTGAAATTGTAACCACAACAGAAGCACTGAGTGGTGCTTCAGCTATTTCTTCTTCATATATAATATCAATAGATGTTAATTCATTTACAACACGTTGCACCATTTGTTGACGAAGACGAGTTGTCCGAATAAAATCCTAATTTGGTTCATAATTATGATCACATTTACCACCACATAAATACATATCATTTTCATCTGAATGAACAACTATTCAGCATCCACTAAAAATGCATATCCAATATTTCTTCCGGATAGTCTACTTATTAATTCTGTATACATGTTTATTCATAATCAATAATCGTTAGCCTTTGTTCGATATTATGAAGGATAAATTTGCATGTAAACTATCAGATGAATTCGTATGAACCGACATGATATTTATTTATCTAAATGTTACTACCAGATTTTTTTTTTGAACTGATCGACACAACATAGATATATTTGTTTACTTTTGTTAACAAAGAATCACCTTTCAACGTAGAGTCGAATGGGTTTACGATTGATTCTGCTTTCATTTTTACTATTGGTGATTTCAGACATTAAAACTCTAAAAAAAAACATATATTTCGATAATATGATTTTCGCTATTTTCTTTTCTTCGAGACTTTAACATTTCAACATGAGTAGATTAAAATGAGAAAAGTAAAATCGAAATGTCAAATTGAAAAATCTTTAGTTTAGCCAAAAATTAACTTCTAATACTTGCCTAACTTTCTGTGAGCGGAGTAAATTCATCCAGAATTATTTGAGACGGGATTTTGACAACGTCTGAGAATCATAAAAATCGTTAAAAACGAGCCATGCTGGACAGTTTTAGTGCCCTAAAAAATCAATAGAAACCCGCCGATTATAAAAGTTTACTCCAACAGGACCGGCAACTGACAGACCGATGAGTTCAATTCCAAGTATGAACCTCCTTTATCCAAATATGTCCAGTTTGGACGAACTCCTTCCTCATCATTTATCTGGACGTCCTTTGTAGATGACGTCTAATAGACAAATCTAAACACGTCCTAGACCCGCATTTCTTTTTCTAAATTCAGATTGAAATCAATTACACCATTATATATATATCAAACTTGAATCTAT